TTCAAAAATTTCAAAATTTTGACAACATGAGACAGCAGTTTGATAGCACAGTGTACTTAATGTCATCTCATGCAAGGAAATTGGGTCTAGCTTAAAAACTGAGCTTTTGATAGCGATTGCCGTAGTTCAATGTTTTGCGTCAAAATCGGCCGACATGACGTCATTCTGAGTTCATTTCCGGCCGAACTACGGTAGCTAAGAAGTTCAAATTTTGACACAAGGTGGCAAATTGATGCATCAAAACAGAGGTGAAAAAACCCTGCTACTCGCCTGCGTGCGTAGGTGACAGCCATAGCCATAAAGAGACAGATTCGAGCATCTCGGTTGATGCATTTAAAATACATATATAACTAGTCCGTTTCCGCTAAAATCAGAGCTGTCTTCCCATAGAGGGCCGCTATGGACCACGGCACAAAAATTTAACAGCGTCATCTCTTTGTAGACAGCTGGGGCTGAAAAATCCCGCCGGTGCGACAGCCGGTGCGTTGTGAAGCGCCATAGACAACGCAGGAAAAAACGGCGACAGCCCGACAGCTCGTCCCCGCTCATCGCCGGTTGAACGGAGGCGGGGACCGGCGCGGCCTTGGCCGCCGCCGAAGTAGGGAAGGACCGGGCGACTGGGACGGGGGACGTCACATCTGGGCCACAACTGGGGTGAGGTCCATGACCATCGGTCCCAGAAACTTGGTAGGGGCGTTGATAATTGGTTCTGACTACTGAAGCAAAGGCAAGTGAATCAGTGACAACTGACAAATGACAATCCTTTCGTGAGTTCTGATTGAACTGGATCAGGAAGCCGGGACGAGCTAGAACGTCGATCAGACCTATAGGTAAGTTGGATGGTAGTGATTTATTTTTGTTGTGTTGTGTCACTGAACTGTGGTCATGCGTTGTCCGAAATCTGAAAGGTCCGAAGTTTGAAAGGTCCCAGAGTCCGAAGTTTGAAAGGTCAGTTTCATAACATTCTAGCCTTATTTTCAATTTTTAGGCCTAAAAAGGTGACGAGAAAACGTCAAAAAAGTACCTTCTGTTTCAAGATTACTTGTAAAAAATTGGTGACAGCTAGACATCGCGTAGGTGACAGCTTTTGAGTTTTATTCACCTCTGCATCAAAAGGTACAGAAGTTTCGCGTCGATACCTCCAGCGGTTTATAAGTTATTGCGGGAAAACGAGAGGGGGCTAGGAATAGCCCCCCTCCCGCAGTGGGGCGCAGGTTCAATTTTTGAGTCCCTAGGCTGGTCTGATTTTTGACGATTCTTTCCTCGTGAACAACACTTTGGACCAAGCATAGCCGAAAATTTCCTCGGTTTGACCGCTAATTTATTAATTTATTTTGACCTAATTTATTCCAGAACTTGTGTAAAATTGATGTCCGGAGAAGTACTGAAAATTGTAAGTCGAAATTCGCAGCCGTTTCTGAGTTACCTGCGACATAACACAGGGAGGGGTCCCTTTGCCCCCTCCCCAACAGGTCGCGGGGAAAATAAAATAAAAATGGAAAATATGTTTTCAATGCCATTTCACAACAAACTAACTAGGCAGGAAAACTTTAAACCAGCGCTGTCTGACGCGCTGTTATGGCCTTAGCGCACTGTTTCCGTCGCATTGGGCTGGAATGGTTTACTCTCAGGTGTGAAAATATATTTGTGTGTCATGTTATGTGTGGTAATTTCAGGCGACAATAGTGGTTGTGTGCAATTTTTCTCCTTTTTTAATTATAGTTTCATTTTGATTTCCAACCAAAAGCTGAGATACTTCTACATACCATTTTCTTCAAGACCATCTTCCTTCAAGACCATCTTCCTCTGGTGGATTTTTTGTGATGCTTTCAGGCGGTAACAATACCGTAAAGAGGGGCTATTTGAAACGGATTTTACAGCTTTTGGCCTCTCCCTTCAAAACGTTTGATATTTCATATAGCATGTGAATTGAAAAACGTAGTTCTCTGTAGCCGCTCTTAGATAGGTAAATTTTGATTCAGCTGGTAACCATAAATAAAGTTATTTTTCTAATTGAAGCCTGTCTCAAATAGCCCCATAATGTGGGGTTATTTGAGACAGTTGTGGTTGCAAGGAGGTTGAAGAAATTCAGTCAAGCTAGGGATAATTCTTTTAATGCCATGCAATTGGAAATCTAATTTTGATACTTCTGGCACAAAGTATTTCTTTCAAATACAGTTATATAACCGTTATAATCAAACTTTTCGTTTTTCGTTGGACATAGTACTTCTGTCTGTTAACCCGCGCCCCGTAGGGCTACCGGCGGACCCTACCACCCGTAGGGGGGGGGGGGGCGTTTCGGCCCCCCCCCTAAGGTCTCGGAAAGTTACCGGCCGATTTTCAAAATTTAAACGGCGTTCGATAGCCCCACCCGGGAACTACCTTGTGACCAAATTTCATTGACCTAGGTCAAACCGATGACGTCACAGGTCAGGTCAAAGGTCTGATTTTCACCGTTCACAGGCATTTCAAGAAATGTGTTGTGAAATCGAGTAAATTGGTAATTTATTGAAAACCATCGATGGTACATTGTTCGTCAAACACATACTTTGCTATCTGAGGTCACTGATACCAGGTCAGGTCACAGCGAGGTCAGGTCACCGGGGGTCACAATATGAAAGTGTCGTGTGATACATATTTTATGGTCCATTTTACATGACAAATGCGATTATGTGGGTTAGGCAGCCTTTGGGGCCAGCCTAGGTCACGTTTTGGTGAAGGTCAGGTCAAGGTCAGGTCAAATTAGGTCAAATTTCAAAGTTGATATTTTTGCATAAAATGGGTATTGATTCGATGTAGCTCGTCACGGGGAGTCTAATGGTGGTCTTTGTTTTGCTCTACGAGGTCTAGAATTGCCAAAAATTGAGTTTGAAAATTTGACGTCATCATTTTTGAACAGTTTTTTTCGCTATAACTTGGCCAAAAAAACGAGATATCGATCTGAAATTTGGTATGTAGATAGAAGACGGTAGGTACTATCACATATATTCCGGTTTTTTCGAAACTCAAAAAACTTTTTGGATTGTTTGGCTAATATATAAAAAAAATACTTTTTTGATTTTTGGGGGTCAAAGCTCCAAAGTTTCAAAAATCCGAGATAGCAGTTTTGTAGCCCTGTCAATTCTACACCTTTTATGTCTTGATCATTTTTCTGTATCTTCAAAGCTGTAGGCGTGACAGGTCTTCTCGCGAAGGTCTTTTTTCGGTCGAAAATGACAGAACATGACGTCACTCTGACGTCAATTGTGGCCAACCTATCATAGCCTCTGGAAAAAATTTTTGGTCACAATGTGTAAAATTGATGCCCGGAGGGGTCCTGAAAGTTTGGTGGCGATATCTCCAGCCGTTCAGGAGATATCGACCGAAAAGGACAGGGGGGGGGCGTTTCGCCCCCCCCCCCTACGGGGCGCGGGTTAAAAATTGCATTACTTTATGCAGTAGCGGCGGAACACCTTCAATTAAGGGGGGAAGGGCACCGCCGACTCTTGGTCCCATTCTTTCCATGCAACGCCCATAGGGCTAATGTTAAAATGCCAAAATCAAAGGGGGGCACGGTGCCCCGGTGCCCTCCCCGTTCCGCCGCCTATGGCTTTATGCTAGGGCTGTCATAATATGATGTGACCCTAAGCTTTGAAAATCACAGGACGATTATCTAGGACTATTTCTAAGTCAACGACAGTAAAATTTTCAAATAAAGTTGTTGTGTTCATCTCTGGCGGCATAAAACATATAGACCGAAAGTTGGTGGGGCTATTTGAGACAGGCTCGCTACGGCATTAAACACACTGTAATGCCTTAAAAAAGGGAAAACAGTTTTCAAAATGGTTGAATGTATGGCATGCGTGATCGATTGTTCCATTGCTCATCAACCTGTGAAGAAATAGCATCAAAAAGGTCAAACGGTTTTGATTTTATACCGATTTTCCTCGATCACTGCATGTTGTATCAAAGGGCCGGTTACCGCACTGCATCAAGAACGTATACTGAAGGCTCTGATAAATAACCTTCAATGGTGCCTTCTGGTCAACCAGTGTAGACATGGGTGGGTTACTGACCACGTCAGTGACTGATGAAAGTTGAAACACATTTTATGCACATATTCTTAAAGGTAACTAATATCGTCACAAACTTGATGGTCATATTTAGTTACAATGTGTAAATATTGCTTGCTGCTAAAAGTACCACGAACCCATGGCCGATTCACCGGTGTTACTAATGTCGAACGTTTGATACACTTTAGGCAGAAGATGGCAGTAAGTCTTTTCGGATGCATCATATCACCTGTTTTTAGGGCCTTGGCATCACAATCATCAGCTGTATTTGGTATCCGTTGAGGTTTGACGAGTAGGTATCATCGGGATTCTGAGACATCGGGTTACATAATTGTCACTACCGTCTTCATGAAAAATGTGCTTAGCCCATAATGAAAACGATAGTTACGATAAATTCGGTTGCAGAGTTTTTAAAACTTCAACCATGTTAAGCTGCAGGTAGGTGTGCTTTTCGTATGACTTAAATTGTGTTTTTTTCTATATTTCTCATTTTATGCCAAATTTCTTTCAAAAAATTTCAAAATTTTCAAAAACCCTTTTCATGGAATTCATCGTTAAATTCCACATCAGCCTGGAAAAAAATATTAAAAAATCAACCAGTTTTAATTTTAGAGCAATTTTACAAAACCACTATCGTACTGTCTCAAATAGCCCCAGTGTCTCAAATAGTCCCATTTCACGGTGCCACTGGTTATGTGCAATTTTTCTCCTTTTCAGCTCATACCTTCACTTTGGCTAAAAATGCCCGCCCCTATTTTGATTTGGACAGAGGCTTGGCTCCAATGTATATGTAATTGGCGGATCGGTACGTTTTACCAGCCCTGTCTGCGGCCGGCGCGTCCTGCCGGGCCGGGACTGTAACGGACTGACCGATATCGATACTATGACAAGTGGCAGCTGTAGGGAGACTGACTGACCACTCACTATAGCACAGTGATTGTGACTGACCGATGTTGAGGACGGCGTGGTTGGTGAGCTCCCAGCAGGAGTGCAGCCGCAGCACGGTGAGCGCGGCGCTCTGCTGGCTGCTGAAGTAGGAGAGCGCCGCGTCGCTGACGTGGTAGGCCTGCAGGCTGAACTCGCAGAGGGACGGCAGCAGCTGCGCCACCGCCGCCACGCTCTCGTCGGCCACGTTGATGCAGTCGGAGACGGAGAGCGAGACGATGCGCGCGCTGAGGCAGGCCCACAGGCCGGCGTCCGTCACCTCGTTGCAGCCGGACAGCTCGAGCTGCTGCAGCCCGTGCAGCTGGTCCAGCGTCTGCTCCAGGCCCTTGTCGGAGACCCGGCAGCACTGCAGCGACAGCGAGCGCACACACTTGGCCGCCGCCGGGAAGCCGTGCGTCAGATCGCACAGGTCCTCGTCCGAGGCGTGCAGCAGCGCCAGCGAGTCACAGGCGCGCACCTGCAGTGAGTGCAGGTAGCGGCGCCGCGCCGCGCCCGGCTCGCCCGCGCTCGACTCGCGGATGTCGCGGCAATTGAGCACCGGCCGAATGGCGCGCCAAAAGCGCGGCTGGTACAGCACGTCGCGCCACACGCGGCACACCTGCGCCAGCGCGCACACCTCGGCGCCAGAGAACAGTTGGAAGAACCGCTCCAGAAACGGCTCGTGCTGCCACAGCGCCGTCCAGCTCATGACTGGCGCGCGCAGCTGGCGGCGCCGGCCGCTGCTCGCCGGCGGCCGCGGGCTCCTCCGACCGCCGGCTCCGTGCAGAGACGGGTACATCCCGTTCCGCATTTTCTGAAAAGAAAACCGCGACGGCTTCTCCGGCGGCGTGGGCTTGTCTCGCGGCGGCGGCGGTGGAGGGGGCGGGGGCGGGACGCCGGCGCGCGCCTGCCGCGCCGCGCCGCTGCCGCAGAACACGGTGGCCACCTTCTCCATGACACTGCCGCGCTTCACACCGGCCGCCGACATGTGCCGCTCCAGGCTGGCCTGTGTGGCGGCGCGGTCGTCGCGCGACTCCTTGGCCTTGGAGCGCAGCCCCAGGCCGTTGATGCAGCGGGATATTTCCACCCGAGCCGTCTCCATCGCCGCGTCACAGGAGATCATACGGCGCACTGACGGCCGCTCACACGGCCCCGCACGGCCGCTCACACCACACGGCACTCGAGAGCCAGTGACGCCGCCGCCGCCGCGCCGTCAATACTCGGCCACCGCAGGGCGGCGCATGCGCGCGGCGCCGGACACGGTACGGTCCACCGCGGACACGACTCGGCGGGCCGCTGCTGCCGGCCGGCGCGGCGGTGTGGGTGCCGCGTCACGGCCGCGCCGCCGCCGGGACGGGCGGCTGTTCCGCCTCACAGCACACGCCGGCGGCTCAGCCTACCTGGTCAGGGAACACACTGCCCGCCATCTGCCGGCGCCGAGATGAACTGACACCGCCGGCCGGTGGCAGCAGGTGGCAGCCTTCGAAAGAACGAGCTGCCGCAGGTGCGGATGGCAAACTCAAATAGGGGATGGTGCCTAAGTAGCGACCCCCTTAAAGGGACCCTCCCACCTTCAAAAACGGTAATCAATTGGCATAAAAGTGATGTCGTTCGGTTCAGAAAGAGCAAAAACGAACATGTAACAAATTTCGTCGAGAAATATTCACGGATTTTTGAGATATTAGACTTTCATTTTTGTTTACTTTTTGGGACATCCGCTGTTCTAATGATGTCATTTGGAAGCAATACTTTGGCATCCTTAAAGTGAGGCAGATATTGCGTGCAAAGCAGCATATAGGTAGTAGGTACCTACCACTACGTTTAACCAAAGGTTTTAGGATAAGACTGTGGATAGGATTTAAAAATCGGTAAATCTGCCAGAGATGAAAAATGTCTACGCTGTCTCCAACTGTATAAGGCAGCATACTGACTCTGCCTCCATACAAATTGTAAAATTCTATTGGCTGAGCAGTGAGCATTAGGGGAGAGTAACAGAGTTACCATTATGCGCCCGGAAACTCTTCCTGTGTCTGGTAAATGCGGTCTCTGCTTAATAACGATCAATGAACATTTTTCTAGTTAAATCTACCTCCACTCTTATAATTAAAGTTCATTTTATTGGAACAAATTACGGTTTTCCTGACCCCTGCAAAATGCGCACTTAGGCACAGCATGTCCTAATTGCGCCACGTGAAATTATGCATCAAAGAACCATGCAAAGTTAGCCCTTTTACTGGCAAGGGCGATAATGTTCCCCTGAATGTCTTTATTGGTCAGTACGGGCCCCTCAACCTTCTGGGGTCAAAGTTCGGCTTCTAACACCAACTATTGAAAGACGACTTTTATAACATTATACGATAACATTGAAAGCCTCGACGTCTTGACATAGCCCGAAATGCGCCCTTGCCATGGCGCATTTTGTGTGGGCGCAATTCGGAATGTGTCATATGGCAGCAAAATATTGATAATGCTGCACAATAGTCATGTACCGTCCTGTTTTTTGTCTCTCCATACCCGGCACATATACCATAATACTACTAAAATCACTTTCTAACCACCTTTCCTCACGAACAGCAGTAATAGTTCAATAAGTAAGCAGGCTCTGAGGAAAAGAAAACACTACATTTTACAAAACCACTCCAAGTACCTACGCGGCTTACAACTTTACGCTGGTAGCGGTAGGTAGTTCGAAAAATATTGTTTTGATGATTGTTATTAATGAATTGTTTTCTAAACACCAATCGACCTATTGGGTTCACAGAAAATGACGAGGGCGCAATTAGGAGACCGAGCGCAGATTGGGCACCCTCCCCTACAACAAGCCCTTATCTACATAGGTATACAGCCTTTGCAGTTTTCTAGTTTTGGCAGACAATCAAATTTTGGTGGATGAAAGCTGAAGTATTTTCAAAAGCTAAAAAAGAATGAAAAAGTGGAAACAAAAGATTTTGTATTTTTGAGTTGCGTATGGGGGAGTGTGTCCATTTTGTACCTTCCAAAACTCTTAGCCATCTAGATCCAACAATACCCGTTGTTGGTAAGAAGACAATACCCGTTGGAAGACAGGCTGTATTTATACTGTGTTCCCAGCCTTTTAACCGCAACTATCACGAATGTCGCGAACAAATGTGAAGGGTATATGAGTAATTTCTGCATCTGGGATTTGGCTAATCTAATCGCTATACTTTAACCTTAGTGGCAGGGGGTCTTTTCTTCCACCTTCAGGGTTTTCTTGAATATCTTCGAAACGGCTGGAGCTAGGATGCTTAACCCGCGCCCAGATGGGGTCTGCCGAGCAACGCGGTCTGATGGGGGGGGGGGGGATTTTGGCCCCCCCCCCCTCAGATCTCGAGAACCACGCAACATAGCGACAAGCGGTAAACGGTGTTGGATAGCCCCAACGGGGAACTACCTTGTGACCCAATTTCATTGACCTCAGTCAAACCGATGACGTCACAGGTCAGGTCAAAGGTCGAATTTTCACCGTTTACAGGCATTTCAAGAAATGCGTTGTAAAATCGTGTAAAATGCATTTCATTGAAAATCATCGATGGGGAAATGTTCTTCAAACACATATTTTGCTATTTGAGGTCACTGATACCAGGTCAGGTCACAGAGGTCAGGTCACTGGGGGGTCACAATATGAAAGTGTCGTGTGATACATGTTTTATGGTCCATTTTACATGACAAATGCGATTATGTGGGTCAGACAGACTTTAGGGCAAGCTTAGGTCACGTTTTGGTCAAGGTCAGGTCAAGGTGAGGTCAAGGTCAGGTCAAATTAGGTCAAATTTCAAAGTTGATATTTTGCATAAAATGGGTATCGATTCAATGCAGCTCAACACGGGGAGTTCAATGGTGGTCTCCGTTTTGCGCTACGAGGTCTAGAATTGCTAAAAATTGAGTTCAAAAATTTGACGTCATCAATTTTTAACAGTTTTTTCGCTACAACTTGGCCAAAAAAAGAGGTATCGATCTAAAATTTGATATGTATATCGAAGAGCGCAGGGACTATCACATATATTCCGGTTTTTTCGAAATTCGAAAAAATTTTGGAATTTTTTTGAGTTTTTCTAAAAAAATCAATTTTTTTGATTTTTTGGGGTCAAAATCCAAAAATTTCGAAAATCCGAGATAGCAGTTTTGTAGCGCCGTCTTTTCTCTACACAACCACATAAGGAACTTTAAAATTGCTTGTTAACTGTAGAATTGGTGAGCGTTTCAAGATGTCATGTTTTTTGCTCATTTTTACTCGAACATGACCTCAGTTTGACCTCAATAACTCCTGACCTGAGGTGACCTGTGACTTGAAATTTTGTGTGAAGGTGTCAAATTGATGTCCGGTAAGGTACCCAAAATTTGGCGGCGCTGCGCGCCGCCGTTTTCTCGCTATTTAAGAAAAACCACAGGGGGGGGGGGCCAAAATGCCCCCCCATCAGGGCGCGGGTTAAATATTCTGATTTTTCTAAGAACGAAACTGGACACATTTTCTGAAATTTCCAAGTTGATTTCTTTATCAGGGACCAAGGCTGCCGTGGTATCAGGTAGAACGCTCCCGACGAAAAACTGGGGAAAAATGAATTTAGTAACCGCGACTCCGGGGACCAAACAAACTCAGGCTGCCGTGGTAACGGGGCAAATTTGGTATGAGTACGCATCTAATAACTCATTTTTCAACGATTTTTTTTTCCAGAAAAAAGCAAAAAGAATTGTCGAACCACTACTAGAATGAATTGCGGTTTTTATAACCGACCCGAATTTTATCAGACTGGCCTAAGTACCTAATATCAAAATCAAGTACTAAAGTCTAAACTGAACGTCCCGTGCTGCTATAGGTTACCTCTAACGCTCTGGCCCCCAAAATCGTCACTGGGTTATCAGCCAATGAGCGTCGAGTATTGGCGTACGCAGATTGGTGGGATTACTGCAGTTGTTGTTTAGAACGCTTACGGTGCTGACAGCGCTAGCGAAGGTGTCTCCACTTTTCGTGCCGCTTGAAGTAGCTTTCTCTGCATCAATTTTGGACAATGTGTGAAATTTTTGACCCCAGGTCATGTCAGGTCAGGTCATCAGGTCAAGTTAACTGACCAAGCCTAAAGAAGTTTGCAATCATGTCCAGCCTGCAGTGTTTGTCAGAAAGGTTTTAAACTTGGTGGATTGTATGATGTTATGGGCGCCTATAATTTGTATATCTCGGATTTTTTTATTTCCGTGACCTAAGGTCAGGGCAGTGGCGTGACCTTACCATTTTAAGTCAATGGAGAAAAATGAAAATGCCTCTATATCCGTGTGTACGCATAGGAACAGTCTAAATATTTCAGAATCACAATGATTTGGACCATCCGTGACGACTGACGACCGTGGTATCTTTTTTGCTGATAGTGTAACGGGCGGCTGTGACCGCCCGTTGTGGCGTGCCTGGCGCCGCCCGCGGCGCTGTGACCGCCCGTCGTGGCGTGCCTGGCGCCGCCCGCGGTGCTGTGACCGCCCGTTGTGGCGTGCCTGGCGCTGCCCGCGGAGCTGTGACCGCCCGTTGTGGCGTGCCTGGCGCCGCCCGCGGAGCTGTGACCGCCCGTTGTGGCGTGCCTGGCGCCGCCCGCGGCGGCTGTGACCGCCCGTTGTGGCGTGCCTGGCGCCGCCCGCGGCGGCTGTGACCGCCCGTTGTGGCGTGCCTGGCGCCGCCCGCGGAGCTGTGACCGCCCGTTGTGGCGTGCCTGGCGCCGCCCGCGGTGCTGTGACCGCCCGTTGTGGCGTGCCTGGCGCCGCCCGCGGAGCTGTGACCGCCCGTTGTGGCGTGCCTGGCGCCGCCCGCGGTGCCTCCCCGACTGGCCGCGCATTTAAAGTGGCCATCCCACCTTAACATTAGTTTTGAGTTGAGATAGCCAAATTGGTGGCCATGGCCTGCAAATACCGGTTTGGGCACTGACAACATCGAAAAATGCTTTAATTCGGAGATATGGAATTTCAAACTTGCAGTTTTCGGATTCTAGGCAGAGCTGGGCAAGTGCGTTCCTTTAGTGCGTTCCTGCGTTCTTCCGTACGTACGCACCGCCCTTTTTAGGAACGCAAGAATGCAGGAACGCAAAGTTTTTTTCAAAGGAACGCAAGTAAGAGGAACGCACCACCCGAAATTCTGAAGCGTTCCTGCGTTCTTGCGGAACCACCCGAAAAATTATATTGCTGCCAATGACCTCTGTGTCAAATGATTGAATCTCGAGTACGTGTGTTTGCCGGTAGAGGCGCCACTTATCGGTCGAATCGAGGAAGGCTTGCTTAGATTTAGTGCTGATGTTTACTATTCGATTCGGCTTCAGGCATTAAATGTGTAAAGATTTTTAGAGGTGATGTTTACTGTTCGATTCAGTTTCAGGCATTAAATGTGTAAAGTAAATATGATAACTTTTACTAAGATCACAGATAACAGTAGTACTACTGTTATCTGTGCTAAGATACATCTTTTAACTTAACTATTGTTTTTAAGCAGGTCGTATTTTTGTTGAAAACCCTACGGATGATATTGGTAAAACGTATTTCAGATATTCGATTCGGAAAAGAGATGTCGAGCTGCTTTTCGGCCCCACGTCGCCATTCTGGGTATTCTGTGATCGATTCGCCCCGTGTTTGGT